TGGAGCTGCCAGGGCAGCAGGGTGTGAAGGAGTCACCAGCTCCGGTCAGAGGTGGGAAGGGGAGTGCAGCCGCACGGCAGGCCCTCAGGCTGAGTGTCGGGGTGTACAGTCCAGTCCAGGCATGGTGACCGGGTGTGAGGAGCCCCCACCCCAAGGCTGGAGCCCCAGCTGGGCCTGGTTTTGCCCCAGAGGCTCCCCGCTGACAGGGGGCCCACACAGGTTGGGAGGATAGCGGGCCTTGGATGGCTCCCAAGAAGCACGTGGTCAGATGGGAGGGAAGGGCAAGGAAGCCGCTGAGGCTGTGCCAGTGCTGGAGAGGGGAGAGACTCAGGAGAGGGGGACGGGGTGGCAGGGAGGGAAGATCCCCCCTCCCTGTGTCCAGGGCCTGGCCCATCTATGCTATTCCAGTGCTAATGCAGCACAGCAGACGGCCCAGAAGGCGGCCATCAGGCCTCAAGTTTTGGAGCCGGGCTTTGTGCGGGGGCTCTGCTCAACTTTGTGCAGGCCTCTGCTCTGGTCCTCTCCATGGGGTCTCTTCCTGGGCCCAGTTTGGGCCTTGTCACCAAATGGCAGCTGGGTTCCAGGAGCAGGTGTCCCAAGACCGCCAGATGGGCATGTGTGGCATCTTTAAAATCTAGCCTCAGAGATAATGTCTTGCCAACTGCTCTGTTCTCACTGGAGGCTGCCACAAAGTCTCGCTGGGACACACGGTATGGCGTGGGGGGCTAGGAAACAAGAAAGATGTGGCCACCTTTGGGAAATGCCATCTGCCACACCAGGGAGTCAGCAGCTTTCCCTGCTGCAACCCAGCACCCACTCTCCCTCGTCAGAGCAAGGGGACCCCAAGGACCCCCCAGGTTTCTAGAGATCTAGTCCGGATTTGAGAGGCAAGGAGGGACAGTCAGAGGGATGGGGCAGAGACCCTGGGAGACGCGGCCATACAGACGGGGGTGCAGCCGGGTGGCAAGGACACGGAGATGCTGGGAGAACAGAGGAAGCTCGGCGAGCCCTGGCCTAGAAAGAGCTCCTTCCTGGGGCTGGGGCTGGGGCTAGGGGGCCAGGACAAGGGCCTGAGACCCTGGGGTGGGACTCCTGGGGTGGGACTACCCCTCTCTCTCTCTGGCAGGAGGAGGGGCACTCAGGCAGGGCATGTGGCAGAGGTGAGTATAGCCTGCTCTTCCCTGCCTCAGTCTCCCCGCTGTCCAGCCCAGATGCCTGCCCGCTTCCGGAGGCAGCAGGGAGGTAGCTGAGCGTGTCGGGAGCCTGCTAGGCACGGTCAGCCAGTTCTAAGGATAGGATCTCATTTATCTTCCCAATGATCCTGGGATAAAAAAGAAAACTCATCTTGCAGGTGAGAAAATGGGTACAAGGAGGGTAAGTGAGCCCACCTGACATCCTCAGGCTCCTCCTTCATCCTGAACCTCCACCTGTCTCTCTGCAGGAGGCTGGGGGAGGCCCAGAGCCAGAGACCCCCTCCAGAGGCTGGGCACAGGGGGCTGGGGCGGGCGCAGCCTGGCCACGCCCCTGAGGAGACCCCCAGACCTTGGCCACTGGGGGCGCTCGCGGGTTCCCCGCCAGGCGCGGCCCGAAGGCAGAGGAGGGGCGGGCGGGCGCGGGCGGTCCAGGCCCCCTCCTCGACCGCACGTCTGACCCGCGCCGCCCCAGCGCCCAGGCCCGAGCAGAGGTCGGGGCAGGCGAGCAGGGTCTCGGTCGGCGCTGCCAGGGCTTCCCTCCGCGGACTTCCGTCGACCCTGGGGGCTTTGCGAGGTCCCCCGCTCTGCACGAGCTTCTGGGGCCAGAGGGGGACGAGGGCAGCCTCGCCTCGGAGCGGGACAGTCCTGCCTTGCGCCGGTCGGGAGGCGCGCGCCCCAGTGTAGACGGCGTGGGGTGGGGGCACCCGGGCGCTGCGGAGGGATCGGATCTTCGCCGGGACCTCGGGGGCTCCCGGGTGGGGCCCGGACTTCGCTGGGCCCAACCTAGGCTTGGCCTCCAAGAGGAGAGGGGAGGCCTCGGGCCAAGGACGGGGAAGCGGGTGTTGGGTAGGGCTGACCTCCAGCCGGCATCGGCACACGCTCGGTAGGCGAGGTGACCCTTCCCCTTCGGGGCGGCCAAGCGGCTTACTCCTCTGCTCAGAAGGGCCCCCCGTAGACTCCCAGACCCTTCTGGGCCAGAAGCCCCCGTCCTGGCTGGCCCAGCCTACCCCTCCCGGTCCCTCGTCCCAGCGGCCCTTTCCCAGCCTGGGAATGCCACGCCCTCCCGCGGGGCCTGGCAGAGCGGCCTTCTTCCGCTGAAGACCGCCCCCCCCAGAAGCCTTCGGGACCACCAGGTGGAGAAAGTTTCTCCGCCCCAGCAACCTGCCCAGCTCTCTCCTACAAGGGCGCGATTGCTGGGCTGGTTTGCCGGCCATGGCAGCCCAGGTGGGGGGCGCATACCCGGCGGCGTAATTCCAAATGAAAACAGCGGCAAACGTGGAAGTGATCCTAGTTCTGCTTTTTTCTTTTCTTTTTCTTTCCTTTCCTTTCCTTTTTTGAGACAGAGTCTCACTCTGTTGCCCAGGCTAGTAGTATGGCCTGGCCGTCAGCCTAGCTCACAGCAACCCTCAAACTCCTGGGCTCAGAGCAATCTCCTGCCTCAGCCTCGGAGTAGCTGGGACTACAGGCATGCGGCCACCAATGCCCAGCTAATTTTTCTATACTATATTAGTGGCCAATTAATTTCTTTCTATTTATAGTTAGAGACGGGGTCTCGCTCTTGCTCAGGCTGGCTTTCAACTCCTGACCTTGAGCGATCCTCCCGCCTGGGCCTCCCAGAGTGCTTGGATTACAGGCGTGCTAGCCCTCCTCTTCCCAGACAGGATTTAACAATTGTCCCTTATTTTTCGTGACCCCTTTGCTGATGCTTTTTCGCCCGCTCTTGGGTAATCACTGGCCCAGTGACATCATCCCAGCAGGGCGAAGAGCCGTCACCCTGCGACATCACCCCCGGTGACGTCGCCACCAGCCCAGCGTCATCCTGTCGCACTGTTCCAGGACGTGCCCGCCCTGCGGGCCACTGCACCCCGCCCTCCTCGCGACCTGGCCGCGACCTCTCTCCACCCTCGCGGCTGGCGTCGGCCGCTCGGCAGGTTCTCGCGAGTTCCGCCGCCAGGCCACTGTGGCCGGGTGATGTGCGCGCCGGGGCGCCGGCGGCACCCTGTCCGGGGTCAAACCCGACACGCGCAGAGCCCGCGGGCCCGCGCTGGGCTGTGGTTGCCGGACGGCTCGCCGACTCCTCCGGGCGCCCGACCCCGTGCCCTTGGAGAAATTTCCGTTCAGATTTCCTGCGCCGCCCGCCGTGAGCTCCCTCCCTGACCCCACCTTGCCCCCAGCTGGGCGGAAGGAGCTCCCGCTCGCGCCCCGGGTCTGGCGGGTCCGCCAGGGCGTCCCCTCTGGCGCGCGCTGGCCTGGACCCCCTGCAGGGGAAGGGCGCGGAGATTTCCCTCGTCTTGCCAGCCCGAGCCAGTGACCGGCTGGCGGCTCGGGCGGGCGGGAGCCGGGGCTAGCTTTGTAGCCGGCCTGGGCCGCAAGACTGAGCCGGCGCGTGAGTGACAGCTGGCGGGGCCGCCGGCTCTGCGCCGGGTGGGGGCAGTGAGGGGAGGAGCGCGGCTGCCTATTGGCTGGCGCGAGTGTGGGAAAGAATGCGGAGCCGGGTTCACACACCCGCCGCGGCGCGGCTTTAAATAGCTGGGAGGCAGGCGCTGCGCGCGGGCCTGGAGCCGGAGACTCGCCAGGGGGGCGCGGAACTCGGCTGCCCGCCGCTCGCTCGCCCTCCAGCCGCGCTGGGACCCCGGCGGCTCCTCCCGGCACCGGGAGGCACCGGGAGGCGCGGGGGCGCACCATGCCCGCAGACACCCCGGGGAAGTCTAGCGCCTCGCCGCTGGCTGGAGCGCCGGCCAGCGCCAGCCAGATCCCAGACAAGCCCCGGAGTGCGGTTGAGCACCGCAAGGTGGGGTCCTGGCCGGGCGGGGGGACTGGGGTGGGGGGTAGGGACAGAGGAACGTGGGACTCAGCCACTGCCTGGCCCACAGTCCTCCAAGCCAGTCATGGAGAAGCGACGCCGAGCGCGCATAAATGAGAGCCTCGCTCAGCTCAAGACCCTCATCCTGGACGCCCTCAGAAAAGAAGTAAGTCGGGGGCGGAGAGGGACTGAAGGCCTGAGACCTGGAGTCTGGGCACAGCTCAGCTGCAACCTGCCGCCCCGTCCCTGCCCAGAGCTCCCGCCATTCGAAGCTGGAGAAGGCGGACATCCTGGAGATGACTGTGAGACATTTGCAGAACCTGCGTCGCGTTCAGGTGACAGGTGAGGCGCAGGTGGCAGCGGCCGGAGGCGGGAGGCACGCAGGACCACCGTCCTGGCACTGACAGCGTGTTCTGTTTCGCTCCCGCAGCCGCGCTCAGCGCCGACCCCGCCGTCCTGGGCAAGTACCGCGCCGGCTTCAACGAGTGCCTGGCCGAGGTGAGCCGCTTCCTGACCGGCTGCGAGGGTGTCTCGGCCGACGTGCGCTCTCGCCTGCTTGGCCACCTGGCGTCCTGCCTGCGCCAGCTGGGGCCCTCCCGCCGCCCAGCCTCGCTGCCCGCCACGGCCCCCGCCGTGGAGGCTGGGGCGCCCGAGGTCTACGCAGGCCGCGCGCTCCTGCCCGCGCTCGACTGCGCCTTTCCCCTGCTGCGCCCTGGGGCCGCCTTCGCGCCGCCGCTCCCAGCAGGCCTGACCCGGGCGCTCCCCGCCGACCCCAGGTCGGGGCCTCAGGGCCAGGGCGGGCCGTGGAGACCGTGGCTGAGATGAGGCTTCGGCCTTCAGACTGCAGCGGAGGCCGCGCCCGGTTCTGGGCCGCTTGGCCTTTGCCAGAGAACACTGTTTCTAGAGGCTGTGTCGAGAGTCTGTGTTTTCTCCTGTCTCTGTGAAACTTAGGATTTGACAGCTGGTAGCCCAGGCCCACTGCAGTCCTGCCGCCCTGGGTCCCCCGGCTTTGGGCTGCCCACCCCTCCCCCGCCTGGCCTGCAGAGGCCCGGGTCTGCCGTCTGCCCTCGTCTGCACAGGAGCCAGCAACGTGCCTCGGGGTGGGGTGGGAGGGGTCCCCCAGGAGGCTCAGGCACCAAGTTTCCCAGGATGTGTCCCAGCACTGGAAGGCCGGCACACAGCATCAATGGCAAGGGGCCCTTGGTGCCTGGATTCACTGGAAGGAGTCAGGGTCCTGCTGTATTCGCTCCCCTCCCTGGAAAGTCTATACCCCAGGGGATACAGACTGCAGGATCCTCCCTCCCACGAATCCTGAGCACCTGCTGTCGGGCGAGGCAGAGAATACCGGGCAGCGCTGGACATGCACCCTGAGCAACCCCTGCAGTCACCACCCTGCTGTCCTGGCCCCTGGAGGCTGCTGGGGGCTTTGCTGCAGCGCCATGAGGGGCTGGTCCACGGCACAGGAGCCCAGACTGTGGAGTGTCTCGTCCTGAGCCCCCGCTGGAGGCGGCACCAACATCCACTTGCCAACTGCGGCTGATTTCGTCGGACATTTGCCCACAGCCCGCCTGGCTGGGGTCCCTGGGGAGGCGGGTGAGTCATCTCTCCACAGGCCGGTCCATCCCCTCCTCCAAGGCTCCCGGACACACCTGAGTGTCATTCACCTGAGTGTGGTTCACCTGGGCCTCCCAGACACAAGCGTGCACACCTGGGCAGGAACCTCCAAGTCCCCACCAAGCCAGTCAGGCCCAGCTCTCTGCCTTGCACACCTCCTGGGCATCCAAGGGCTGGTTCGGCAAGCCTGGATGGGTGGGGGCAGCCACTCGGGCCAAGCACTGCACCCTTGGATGTGTGCTTGTTGGTCCTGGTCCCGGGAGCCTCAGAGTAGCCCTTCCCCCTTCAGAGCTGGGGCACCTGCTCTGTGAGGAAGCTAGGTGTTGATGTTCCTCAGGCTGCATGAGGCATCAGCCCTCCTCAGCAGGAGGGGCCATGGGAAGCTCAGCCTGGTGTAAGGAGCTGCCCGGGGAAGGCCTCAGTGCAGAAGCAGGGAGGGGGCCTGGGTGCTTTGGGAAGTGAAGCTGCGTGTGTGTGGGCAGAGCTGGCCCCACATGTCCTAGAGGAAGAGGAGGGACCCCCCAACCTGTAGGGGCCAGGGGAGGTGGGTCGCCTTATTCCTCCTCCCCCAGAGAGGGCAGCCACCTCCAATGACCACGCCCCAGAGACCTTAATTCCTTGCACCCCCCCCCCAATTGCTAAAGGAAATCTTTGCAGGAGCCCTCCTTGGGGACCTCTCAGGCCCTGGGGCCACACCCATCAGACAGGCGAGCTCCCCAGGCTATCCCTTGTTCTCAGCCTACCCCCTGCAATGCTCTCTCCATTTCCCACACGACTCCTGGACCATCCCATCCCCCTGCTGGCTGGTGGTATGTTGTCCGGACCCAGCCTGACTGGCCACACCTCTACCCCTCACCTCTGGCCTCAGCGCCTGCCTGAAACAGCGAATCCCAATCCATCCTCATCTAATGGGTTAGAGGAGGGAGGCCTCAGGAAGCACGGCCTAGGCTGAGGCTGGGCCCCCAGGGTGGGGGCCTGGGCTGGGAGGGCAGCTGGGTCTCAGGAACAGCTGAGCGCCCCCCACCAAAGCCTCTCCCACATGCAGCCAGGATGCCTGCTGGAACCTGCTTCCTGGGGCCCCAACTTTGGGATGCTCCCTCTCACAGCAGGGTGTTAGGGTCCTAACCCAAACCTCCCACATAATTCCTACCCTGCCCCTGGCCTCAGAAGGAAGTCCCTAGGGGATGGGCTCTGGGCCAGTCCCCTGTCCCTCAGCCTCTCCCAGCTGTTTCTATGTCGGCTTTTGTCTTGCAGTGGCTGCCTGCTGTGTAGTGGGTGGTGCCCCTTCCCTGGAGGCGTGGGTGTGGCTGCAAACGCCGACCACTCCCCCCAGTTCATCTGCCACTGCTGCCTTCCAATCCCAGTGCTTGGCCCCCACGGAGGGCCAATAAATGTTTGCTGAAACATTATGCCTCTGAGGTGTCGGAGTCCGTCTGCTCGGGCCGGGCTGAGGCTCAGGACTGAACTGTGACCGCTCATCATAATATTTGAAATCTGGGCAAAGACTCGGTCCCTGGGAAGCTAGAGATGGGGGTGGGGCCAGGGCTGCGAGGGTACCTAACTGTCCACACGCAAATGAGTGAAGCTGGACCCCTTACATTATAGGCAAAAATTAACTCAAAATGGATGGTAGACATAAATGTAAGAGTTAAATCTACAAAATTCTTAGAAGAAACTATAACAGTAAATCTTCATGATCTTGGGTTATGAAAGACCTTGGGCAAAGCCTTCTTAGATATGATGCTGCTGTGGTTTGAATGTGTCCCTTTAAGTTCATGTGTTGGAAACTTGGTACCCAATGCTCAGGTGTCGAGAGGTGGGACCCTTAAAAGGTGTCTGTGTTATTGAGGGCTCTGCCCTCATCAATAGGTTCATGCCATTTCTGTGGGAGAGAATTCCTTATGAATGGAGGTGTTCAGCCACCTCTTGCTGCTCTCTCTGGCCTTCCCTTTGCCCTTCCGCCATGGATCGACACAGCAAGAAGACCCTCAACCGATGCTGGCACCTTGATCTTGGACTTTCCAGCCTCCAGAACTGTGAAAAATAAATTTCTATTCACTCTAAATTACCCAGTCTCAGGTATTCTGTTATAGTAGCACAAAATTGACTAAGTCAGAGGCCAAAAGCTAAGTGACAAAAGAAAACATAGATAAATTGGATTTCCTAAAAATTAAAAACTTTTGTGTTTGAAATAGCATTATCAGGCCAGGAGTGGTGGCTCACGCCTGTAATCCTAGCACTCTGGGAGGCTGAGGCAGGCAGATTGCTCGAGGTCAGGAGTTTGAAACCAGCCTGAGCAAGAGTGTGACCCCGTCTCTACTATAAATAGAAAGAAATTAATTGGCCAACTAATATATATATAGAAAAAATTAGCTGTGCATGGTGTTGCATGCCTGTAGTCTCAGCTACTCGGGAGGCTGAGGCGGGAGGATTGCTTGAGCCCAAGAGTCTGAGGTTGCTGTGAGCTAGGCCAACGCCACGGCACTCAATCTAGCCTGGGCAACAGAGCGAGACTCTGTCTCAAAAAAAAAAAAAAATATATATATATATATATAGACAAGGAACTTGTATCAAGACTATATAAAGTACTCTTTCAACTCAATAATAAAAAGATAAATAACCCAACTATTAATAAAAAATGAGTAAAAGCTCTGAATAGGTATTTCTTCAGAAAACATACAAATGGCCAATAAGCACATGAAAAGATGCTCAACATGAATAGCCAATAGGGAAATTCAAATCAAAACTACAACCAGGCACGGTGGCTCACGGCTGTAATCCTAGCACTCTGGGAGGCGGAGGTGGGAGGAATGCTCAAGGTCAGGAGTTTGAGGTTGCTGTGAGCTATGATGATGCCACTGCACTCCAACCCAGGTGACAGAGCAAGACTTTGTCTCAAAAAATGATGATGCCACTGCACTCCAACCCAGGTGACAGAGCAAGACTTTGTCTCAAAAAAAAAAAAAAAAGTCAAAACTACAATGACTATAATCCTAGTGCTTGGGGAGGCTGATGTGGGAGGATCACTTGAGGTCAGGAGTTTGAAACCAGCCTGAGCAACACAGTGAGATCCTCTACAGAAAATAACAAATTTAGCCAGGCACAGTGGTATGTGCCTGTAGTCCCATCCACTCGGGAGGCTGAGGCAGGAGGATCGCTTGAGACCAGGATTTTGTGGTTGTAGTTAGCTTTGATCACACTGCCACATTCCAGCCTGGGTGACAGAATGAGACCATGTCTAAAATAAACTATAATGAGATATCACTTTATACCCACTAGAATAGCTATAATTTTTAAAAAGACAGATAATAACAAGTGTTAGTGACCATGTGGAGAAATTAGAGCACTCGTACATTCCTGGTGGGAATGAAAATGATGTATCCAGTTTAGAAAACAATCTGGCAGTTCCTCAAAAGGTTAAATGTAGAGTTGCCATGGGATCCATCAATTCCACTCCTAGGTATATACCAAGAGCAATAGAAACATATGTCCAGGCTGGACACAGTGGTTCATGCTTATATTCCCAGCACTTTGGGAGGCCAAGGCAGGAGGATCACTTGAGCCTGGGAGTTTGAGGTTGCTGTGAGCTATGATGACACCACTGCACTCTAGCCTGGGAGACAGAGCGAGACGCTGTCTCAACAAAACAAAACAAAACAAAACCCACAACAACTATGACATATGCATAGGTATGGATGAATATTAGAATAGTTACACTGAGACAGAAGACAGATATACTGTACTCTTTTTTTCTTTTTTAGCTATAGCTGCTGGAATGGGAAGACATACTGTATTCTTTTGCATGGCACAAATGAGTACATGCTGTGCCTCCTTTTATCCAACATTCTAGACAGTGCGACCGACTCTGTAATGGCAGAAAGCAGATCGGTGGTCTCGTCCTTAGGGAGACCCAAGGGAAGAATTGCCAAGGGGACCACGGAAACTCTGGGGGGATGGAGATGTTTCCCAGGTGTACGCATATGTCAAAACCTAGAAAATTGTGTACTTTAAACATTTGAAGTTAAATATTTGAAGGTGTTAATCACATCTCAATAAGGCTATTACAAAATAAGAAGAAAAAAACCCATATCTATATAAGGGTGTCCTGGCACTTAATAGTTGCTCATTGAAAATTAGCTCTAGGCCGGGCGCAGTGGCTCATGCCTGTAATCCTAGCACTCTGGGAGGCTGAGGCAGGAGGATCACTCAAGGTCAGGAGTTCGAAACCAGCCTGAGCAAGAGTGAGACTCCATCTCTACTAAAAATAGAAAGAAATTAACTGGCCAATTAAAAAAAAAAATATATATATATAAAAATTAGCCGGGCATGGTGGTGCATGCCTGTAATCCTGGCACTCTGGGAGGCCGAGGCAGAAGGATCACTGAAGAGCGAGACTCCATCTCTACTAAAAATAGAAAGAAATTAATTGGCCAACTAATATATATAGAAAAAATTAGCCGGGCATGATGGTGCATGCCTGTAGTCCCAGCTACTCAGGAGGCCGAGGCAGGAGGATCCCTTTAAGCCCAGGAGACTGAGGTTGCTGTGAGCTAGGCTGAGGCCTCGGCACTCTCTCTAGCTGGGCAACAGAGTGAGACTCTGTCTCAAAAAAAGAAAAAAACTGAAAAGAAAATTAGCTCTCATGCTTGAGAGCTGACTGTTTCAAGGTCAGGGTCTTGAAAGGGGCTACAGGACTTCAGGAAAGGCGCCTGGCAGCCCCCAAGGAGCACCCACCCAGTCCCGCCTTTCCTGGCTGGCGGGAAGGGGCAGGCCCTGGGTCCCCACTCCGCCCGCCCGGGCAGGAACCGCGGCGGCATCACCCTGTCGGCCTCCGGTGGAGTCCTGCTGCCCTCTGGTGGCCGCCAGGGGCACAGCAGGCCGAGACGCTGCTCTCCACCCTGCCAGGGACCCGCGCGCCGCCGCGCCCGCCTCCCACGCCACGCGTGCCCACTGCACCCGTGCCGACCTCTGCCGAGAGTTACCTCCTCCACCGTAGGGGTGGGTCACTAAGGTGGCACGTCCTTCCCTCCTGGGCTGAGAGTGCTGCCACGTGGCGTTCCATAGAGCCCCACCTGCAGTCCTCAGCCCACCCTGGCTGCCCCCACCAGGAAGGTGCGTGGTTGGGATGGGAGTGGAGGAAAGCGCCTCCTTCTGAAGTCGAGGCCAGGGGCAGTTTGTCTTTAAAAGCCTCACAGCAACCTAGCCGGCGTGGTGGCTCACACCTGTGATCCTGATTCTGGGAGGCCGAGGCGGGAGGATCGCTCGAATTCAGGAGTTCGAAACCAGCCTGAGCAAGAGCGAGACCCTCTCTCTACTAAATATACAAAGAAATTAATTGGCCAACTGAAAATACATAGGAAAAAATGAGCCGGGCATGGTGGCGCATGCCTGTAGTCCCAGCTACTAGGGAGGCTGAAGCAGGAGAATCGCTTGAGCCCAGGAGTTGGAGGTTGCTGTGAGCTAGGCTGAGGCCACAGAACTCTAGCATGGGCAACAGAGTGAGACTCTGCCTAAAAAGTAAAATAAATAAATAAATAAAGGAGGTTGCTGTGAGCTAGGCTGAGGCCACAGAACTCTAGCATGGGCAACAGAGTGAGACTCTGCCTAAAAAGTAAATAAATAAATAAAAGCCTCACGGTAAGATGGACCACCTCCCACCAACAGCCTAGACCACCTCCTGCTCCTGGCTCCCAGCCCACAGCCTTGGGCTGGCCTCCCCGACTTTCCCGCAGACCTGGCCAGGGAAGTGTCGGAAAGCCACATCACCCCTGCCTCAAGCCCCGGAGCCTTCTCATCTCAGGGGAGTCCCCGTGGGGCTCGGCCACCAGGCCCCTGCAGACAAGTGCTTGGACCTGAAGGTGACAGCCCTGTCTGTGCAGGACGTGGTGCTGTTCTGACCCGGTGTCCACACGGAAACCAAGAGGGGCCGCATGACCCCACCTCCCGCCACCCATGAAAATGCACACCAGGCGTGAAAGGTGAGACAATGACATTTTCTAAAAGTGCAAGAATGTTTTCGTGGTGTCTTCACGATTTGGGGGCAGGCAAAGAGTTTTTTAAAAGGACAGAAAAAGGCTCATGCGAACCATAAAGGAAATTGTTGCTAAAGTGCATTATGTTGACATTAAAATCTCCTGTTCATCAAAAGCACCACTGAGAGAGTGACAAGTGGAGGCAGAGAGGGAGAACGTGCCCGTGGCGCACTCAGCGACGCAGTCTTGTCCAGGAGGCACAACAGCCCTGACAAATGGCAGATCTGTACAGCTCTGACACGGCAACACGGAAAAGGCCAGGGGCAGCCACCGAGGACAGATATCTTCACAGGAGACGACCCACGGCTGATAACCGGTCCCTACGGGAATGGGAGCTGAAGCCATGAGGTGACGCCACCAGGGAGCACGATGCCCACAGTGGCAGCGGCGATCTCAGACGGCTGTGCAGGAAGCCCCTCGTCCTGCGGTTGGGGTGTGCGGGCACGGCCGCCTGGGAAACCGCTGGCCCGGCACGGCCCGGCGTGCTCACAGTAGCACCCACCCAACCTCCATCCTCAGGAGGACGGCCGTGGCCCCCTGGCACAGCCACATCCGATTGCCCTGGGCAGGGAAGGTGCTGGGCAGCCCCTTGGGGCAGCCTGCCCGCAGGGCATGAAGCTGAGGGAGAGAGGGAGCTCAGGAAGGCAGGTCCGCAGGTGGGCCCCGTCGGGGAGACGGGTCTGCAGGTGGGCCCCATCTGTGTGAGGTTCAGCCTGGGCTACCCTGGGGCTCTGTGGTGTCTGGGGGGGCAGAGAAGGGGACTTACTTTCTGGCACCCTTGGTGCACTTCCTGCAAGCCAGAGCCCTCGCTCCTCCCAAGCGGCACCGTCACCCCTCACAGTGCTGGCCCCCAAATCTTGCGTCCAGACCCTCAGGGTCCACGGCCCCCTCCTCAGAGGCCCTCTTTTTCCTTCTAAGAACCTGTTGCCGCAGAGATGAGCTTAGTTACCGGTTCAATTAGATGTGGGTTGCCTGACTCCACCCTCCCCACCCTTTTGTCCCCAGCTCAGGACCTGCCTGGGGAGGGCACTGTGGGCCCCAAGGTCAGGACAACTGCAGCAGGACCCACTCCCTGTGGCTGGAGCAGAGGCCAGAGCAGGACCCCTGGGGCTCGCCTCTGCCCCCTACTGGCTGCGTGGCCATGTGCCAGTCGTCGCCCTCTGTGCCCCTCTCAGGGGCGTGAGTTTATACAGACGTGCTCACGGGGGCCTGGCCCAGAGGCTGTCACCCCCCAGGCTCCTCCTGAGACCGGCCCACCTGGGCAGCGGCACCAGACGCCTCTCCTGGAGGGCAGCCGGCTCTGTGCAACCACGTGGGGCCTGTCCACAGTCCAAAGTCAGGAGAGACGCTGGCAGAAAGGGACCCCACTGTTCTCCCCGGACCCTACCTACCCTCTCCTGAGGCCCGGGGTCCACGCTCATTTGGGGGTCTCCGCCGACACCCCCCCCAGTCCTGCGGGCAGCCTCAGCCTCCGTGCTGGGGGGTCACGTGAGCCCCTGGGGGCCAGGCCAGGGAGGTGGCAGCCCCGTCCAGGGAGAGTGACCGTCACCTCCAAGGTTGGGCCGGCACATTGCAGAGGCGGAGGGTGGGGTGGGTCTGAGGTTTCTCCGAGGGAGAAGGAAGCGGAGCGGCCTTCAGCTCAGGGAGGGAGGCGCTCGGCGCTGATAAAGGGTCGGAGTTCTCTGGCCGGCGCCTGACCCGACCCCGGCCGGGCCTTGTGCTGGGAGACACCCCTCGTGGTGCTGGATCAAATGCCATCTATTTGTGGCCTGCAGCCTGTCGGCTGGCACGAGTCACATGTGACTTGCAGGGTATTTTTGGCAGTGGGGGTGGAGCCCACGTGGGGAGCCCAGCACCATGCCGCTCCGGGCGGGCAGCTCAGACGCCCAGCTGCTGCCCAGCTGGCGGCCGGGACCCAGGTAGGACACGGTCGGGGCTGAGCCCTGACCTCAGGGGTCCCAGCGGTGGACAGTCCCACAGAGACGTCTGGAGGGCTGAGAGGAGGGCGACCGTCCAGGCCCAGCCGTGGTGCCCTGGGCTCAAGTCTTCTCCACCTCAGGACGGTAGCAGCCAGAGGGACCGTCCACCCTGGGTGCAGAGGGGGCTGACCGGAGGTGAAGGGCAGCCCCTTAAAGAGGGTAGACCCGGTGGCCGGCCAGGGTCACCTTGATTCCCTGAGACAGAGCAGAAGAAGCAGGCTCAGCGGCTGGGCAGCCCGGGGTGCTGCTGGGGTCAGAAGGCTCTTTGCTCTGTGACCTCCAGCCCCGGGTCTCCCTGCTGACCTCCGAGCCAGCTCTGGCCAGCACCAGCGTGACCTTGGTGAGCTCACAGGGAGCCTGATGACGGGCTGGTCACCTGCCGGACACCACAGACTCCCTGCAGCCAGCTGCCACCAGGGCACGCGGGGCTGGGCCGGGGCTGACCGCTCGGAGGGCCGACCCCGGTGGGAGGCCCTGGGAATGGGCTTTGCTGCATAGAGTCCGCCGTGGTACCGGCAGCTTCCAAGGAAGGTCGAGGAGGGGAGGCCACCAGGAGGGACGGAGGGAACACAAGCCCGGAACTCGGGGGCTGGCGAACTTCTCTGACGCCGAGCTACTTTTGCTCGGTTTTACTGATGTGACAAGTGTGGTTACAGAGTTGCCGTCCGGGGTCAGCTTGGAAACAGAGAAGATGTGAGCTGGGCGTTTCTAACTCCCTCTGCACCTGTTCTCTTCCCCTCAGGTGTGATGTCCTGCCGGCGAGGGGGCTGCCCCCGGGTGGGGCCGGCACCAGGGGCCTGGATTTGTGGCCATGCTGCCCGGCCCCGCCAGTGACCCCGCTGACCCGGCATGGAAAACTTCCAGTACAGCGTGCAGCTGAGCGACCAGGACTGGGCCGAGTTCTCAGCCACCGCCGAAGAGTGTGGCCTCCTGCAGGCCGGCCTGGCCTCTGGGGACGAGCTCCCGTCCAGTGACATTGACCAAGGGGACAGCAGCGGCCCCGTCGGGCTCCTGCCCCTCCCTGCCGGGCAGCCAGCCTGCAAGGAGGAGGAGGAGGAGGACGCGGCCACCGGGCAGGCGGTCAGCAGGTCGCGGTGCGGGCTTGTCTTGGCCCCGGGGTCTGCTGAGCAGACACCCGGCACGTCCGCTCGGCCAGGCCCTCGGCTGTCCCTTAGCTCCGGTGCCAGCCCTCCTGGCTCGGCCCTCCCGGGGCCGGTGTCTTCCAGGGACGACATGCACAGGCTCCTGCGGGGCCCTGCCCCTAGCGTCCCCGGGGAGCCCCCAGGCAGTCCCGGGCCCCCTGGCCACAGCACCACCCCGCAGGGGCCCCCCAGCAGCCCTGGAGGCCCGCCTCGGAGCCCCAGCCGAAAGAAGAGGCGTGCGGCGGGCACCAAGGCTGGTGGGAGCTCAGGGACCCAAGGTGTTGCCCCTGCCCGGCGGGGCTCCCCGCCAATCACCGCCCGGCCTGAGGCGGGGCTGGGCCCAGCGGCACCCAGGGAGAAGGGTCCCGAGGTAGCAGCAACACTGGCAGCCGGGGCCAGGCGGGACGTGCAGGGGCCAGACTCTGCAGGCGCTCGGGGGCCTGCCTCAAGTTTGGACCTGTCTACACCTATCTCTACGACTGACCTGTCTATACCTATCATCTCTACAACTGACCTATCTACGCCTATCTCTACGACTGACCTGTCTACACCTATCTCTACGACTGACCTGTCTATACCTATCATCTCTACAACTGACCTGTCTACACCTATCTCTACAACTGACCTGTCTACACCTATCTCTACAACTGAGCAAGGTACAGAGCAAATCAGAATGACCCCCAGAGCTGAGCTACACCCAGTGTCCACACATGCCAAGGAGGCTCATCCAGATGTTGCAACGGCTAAGCCAGATGTGGCTGTGTCTACACCCTCCTCCGACCCTCTACCCAACACGGCTCTGTCTACACCCTCCTCTGAGCCTCTACTCAACATGGCTCTGTCTACACCCTCCTCCAACCTTCCACCCAACACAGCTCTGTCTACACCTTCCTCCGAGCCTCCACCCAACACGGCTCTGTCTACACCCACCTGCAAGTCTAGACTGGATGCAGACCTGTCTACGGCAGGCCCAGGGGTCGACGCAGAAGTGGCTGCATCTACCTGTGTCTCGGCGGCCGTCCTGCGTGCGGCTCTGCCTCAGTCTGTCTCTGAGGTCCGGTCGGGCGTGGGTGTGTCCACGCCTGCTCGCGGAGCTGACGCCGCTGCCCTGTCCCCGCCCGCTGCCCCCCAGCCTGGGCCTGGTGCGGTGGAGACAGAGGTTGTGTCTCCAGGGGGTCCTCGGGCGGAGCCCAGCGTGAAGCCCTTAGCAGGAGCCCCTGGACACCTCTCGGGGCAGCGCCCCTCGGGCCCCGTCCAAGCCCCCAGGAAGAAGAAAGTCCGATTCTCCGTGGCCATGCCCAGCCCGGAGGAGCCAGGATCAGGGGGGGCCTCGGAACACCCATCGCCGCCCACGGCCCAACCCCCAGCCCCCAGGATGGCGCCCGGGGGTCACGGAGGGCCCCGGGCCTGGGATACCGTGGCTGTTGGGCCCCGGCCCCCCCAGCCTCGCATCCTTAAGCACCTGCCCCCGCCGCCCGCCCCCTCTGCCTTGGGGACTCTGGCTCCCAGGAGCTGCTTTGCCGTGACCCTCCCCGAGGCCTATGAGTTCTTCTTCTGCGACACCATCGAGGAAGAGGAGGAAGATGCCGAGGAGGGGGCAGCGGCCAGCCAGGCTCTGGCCGAAGTCCAGTGGCCGGACATGTGCGAGTTCTTCTTCCGAGACTGCCGAGCCCGGAAGCCGAGGCCCCGGGGGTGCCGCTCCCCAGCCCCACCCCCAAAGAAGCCTGCGCCCGCCCCCCCGCCCGGAGAGCCCGTGCCCATGTCCATCCCCGAGGCCTACGAACACTTCTTCGGGGAGGATGGGGGTGAGCTGGGGCCGGCCACCCCGCCCCGGCTGCAGGCCTTGGAGACGCCCGGGTCGGCCTCCCTGGGTGCGGGGCCCAGGGCCCCCCCCACGCCCAGCCCCACGCGAGGACAGCGGTTCGGCCTGGCGGTCCGGCGGGCAGGTGCGTGCTGTCGGGTCCCTCGGACCGTCCAGGCCCTGGGAACACACCGTCCTGGGAGCTTGGCCACGAGGGCCAGAGGGGAGGGCAGGCCAGACCCCGTCGTCAGCCTGGGGGCGGGGGACGCGGGGACCAGCTGGGAGGGAGGGGCTGGCCTGGGCGTCCGGGACACAGGCCAGGCAGGGCAGCCCAGGCCAGGCACGGCCCTGCGCTCAGGCCCAAGGGCAGCCGCCCTCCCCGCCCCGGGGACAGGCAGCCCCGCCCAGGCCTCGCCCGCAGCCTTCTGGGTGGGACCCTCGGTGAGGGACATCTCACGCCCCCTCCGAGAGGTGCTTCACAGACCAGGAGGGAGAGGATGGCAGAGGCAATTTGCCAGACTGGCCTGACTCAGCCATGTCACACGCTGCCCTGTGTCTCGGGCAGAGACACGGCGGGGAAGAGGTGACTCACACAGACACGTCTGGGCAGAGGGCTCCCAGGACAGACGTGACTGGGGCAGACGTGACCTGGGCAGACGTGTCCCAGGACAGACGTGACCAGGACAGATGTGTCCCAGGACAGACATGACTGGGGCAGACATGACCTGGGCAGACGTGACTGAGGACAGACGTGACTGAGGACAGACATGACCAGGGTAGATGTGTCCCAGGACAGACGTGACTGGGGGCAAACATGACCTGAGCAGATGTGACCAGGACGGACATGTCCCAGGACAGACATGACCAGGATAGACATGTCCCAGGACAGACGTGTCCCGGGACAGATGTGACTGGGGACTGACATGACCTGGGCAGATGTGTCCCTGGACAGACATGACCAGGACAGACATGTCCCAGGACAGACGTGACTGGGGCAGATGTGACCTGGGCAGAGGTGTCCCAGGATAGATGTGACCAGGATAGACATGACCAGGACAGACGTGACCAGGGCAGACGTGCCCCAGGACAGACATGACTGGGACAGACATGATCAGGGTAGACATGTCCCAGGACAGACATATCCCAAGGCAGTACCGGAGTAGACATGACCGGAGCAGACATGACCAGGACAGACGTGTCCAGGGCAGGTGGTTCTTGGGACAGCCGCGTCTCAGAGAGGAGCAGCCGCAGCTGAGGGACGCTTCTCTTTCCTAGGGGAGCTCCGGGGTCCCCTCAGCTCCTTTACCTTCAGCCAGAATGACATGTGCCTGGTGTTTGTAGCCTTTGCCACCTGGGCTGTGAGAACATCGGATCTGCACACCCCAGACGCCTGGAAGACAGGTTTGGGGGCGCTGGGGGAGGGGCAGCCGGGTGCAGCCTCTCCCGCTGGGCCAGCAGGCGGGGGTGGGGGTGGGGAGGCCCCACGCGACCCGAGGGCGGGTCACCTGGCAGGCGAGCTGTCCCTCAGGAGAACTTGTGCTCCCTGCAGTCTTGCTGGCCAACATCGGCACCATCTCCGCCATCCGCCACTTCCGCCGGCAGGTGCGGCGAGGCCGCCGCAGCCCCAGCCCCAGCCCCAGCCGCAGCCCCAGCTCCTAGGATCCCGGCGGCCCAGGAAGACCCAGGACATGGAGAGCACAAGGACAAGCGTCTGGGAGGGAGGCACCCCAGGTGCCGCAGCCGCAAGTCAGCCCGGGCTGCTCCTGGGAGGGGGCCCGGGAGTCTGCGTGAGGAGAGGCTTCGAGGGGGCGGAGAGTTGGCGGCCACACTGGCACGTGGCACAGGGAACCAGGTGGAGCCGGACTCCAGACACACGGTATTCAGGGGGCTGGAGAGTTAGTGGCCACACTGGCACGTGGCACAGGGTACCCAGTGAAGCCGGACTCCAGACACATGGTATTCGAGACATATTTATGCTGGGAAATCATTTGTCATCTGGACATTTGTCAAATCATTTGTCAAACTCGTGTTTGGCTGACACCGTGTACCCATCTGGTGTGTGGAGGGGAGAGAGGAGGCGCGAAGGCCCGGGGAGCCACGAGGCCCTGCTGAGGCCTGGGCAGGGGCGAGGGCAAGGACACCGGGGCCTCGAGGCTGGGGCTTCTGCAGACAGCCCTGCTCATTGCGGGTGGGCTGGGCTGGCGAGGGTGCCCTCCGCACCTTGAGCCCCAGGCCTGCCGAGGCGAGGTGGCGAGCTGGCACCAGGCGGACACATCCCGAGGGGCTGCAGATACCCTGGGGGCTGGGGCAGAGCCTGGAGCCTGGGCGGGGTGCGGAGGCAGAGCTGGTGGCCTCAGCTGGAGGGATGGGCCCTGGGCTCCCTTGGGGCAGCTGGGGGCCCAGGGCCGAGCAGCCGAAGACAGGCAGGGGAGGGGCCGGGGCAGCGGAGCGCAGGGACGGTGGGAGACCCCGCTGCTGAGTGAGGATCCGTGGACACACAGCACCAATAAAATTTCCACTTTTTTCTCGTTTAGTGATGTCAGCAACTCGTGCCAGCCTGCTGCATGGCACGCACACCCAGGCCATGTGGGGACACCCCAACCTCTGCTGGTGTCAGCTCACACCTTGCTGACCTCTGACCCTCACGCCCACGCCGCCCTCCCATTCAGGTCCCTCCTGGGGGCAGAGCCGGGGGATGACCTGCCTGACCCCCACCCTGCCCTGTGGTCTGGACACGCCGGCCAGGGCGTCCTGGGAGAGGCCCTCCCGGCCCTCCCGCTGCGGGGTGTGCAGGGGGGCCGGCCTGAACCCAGGGCTCAGGAGACGGCCTTGCTCCCTCTGGAGTCAGCCCCTGACTCGGAGCTCGATGCGGGTCTGGCCCGTGGGGGCGAGTGGTCCTGCACGGCAGGCCGGTGGGCGTCAGATCAGATCCACTGGATGACCGTCCCCTCCGCCCCAGGCTCCCGCGTCTGCTGGGAGGGAGACGACAGCTTGTCCCAGAGGTTGTCGTAGCCGGGGCCTTCACGCCTCCTGGGGGGCCTGCTGTCCGCTGGGGAAGGCCGAGATGTGTGGGCGCTGCAGGAAGCCGCGGCTGCCCACCCGCAAGGGGGCGGGGCCCTCACTCACCTGGGGGAGGCCGCAGGGGTGCTGGGGAGCCTTCCCTGGCAGGGGCGACCTGTGAGCCCAGACCACACGCCTGAGAGCCAGGCAGAGCCTGGGGTGGAGACCTGCAGACCCGCCCGCCTCTGCCCTGCCCGCGCTGCCCCTCCCCCGCTGCTGTCCTCCCACCGGGCTCTGTCCCCTGTTCTCTGCTCCTCAGAGCCCAGGAGGCCCCCACCCCCACCCCACGTGCCCCTCAACCCCGGGTGCTACTCACAAGCCGAGGAGAGTCTGGCGGCTGTGGCCCCCCACCCTTGACAGAGCCCCGGTGCCTCTGAGAGGCTCGGGCCTGCAGGGCCCCCTTCCTGGAGAGCAAGTGGGGGCCGGGGGGGCCGGGGCAGCTGGAGGGGCCGGAACCAGGGTCAGTGACAGGCACAGACACGGGCACTGCGGGGAACAGGCTCGAGGGCGCAGGTCCGGGGCAGCTCTGCAGGGCGCTGAGGAACTGCAGGGGAGCGGGGGGGGGGGGTTGTGAGCCACTGAGGCCTGTGCTGGGACCTCCAGGGAGCCAGGGACCCCTCCCCCGGGAGCCCCCCAGCCTCCCGTTTCTGCCACCCCGTGGGGGCCCGACCTCATCCAGGCCGCTGACGTCTGTGATCTTGTGGCGGGAGGTGGCGGGCGGTGTGTAGGGGTCAGCGTAGAGCGGGGAGTGCGGCGTCTCCAGGCTGTGGTCTGGGGCCTCGGGGCCGCCCTCCAGGCTCAGCCGGCTCAGCTGCAGGGCAGGGGTGGGAGAGACAGTGTCTGCCCCTTCTCCCTGCGCCAGAGGCCTGAGAGGGTGCGGGGACGGCGGGGCTGGGCTGGGGGAGAGTGGATGGGAGTTGGGTCAGTGTGCTGGGCCCACCTCGGTCAGGTCCAGGCGCAGGTGTGGTGGGGCGGCCGGGCCTGGCCCCTCTGCCCTGGCCTTGCTCCTCGGTGACCGGCCGCTGCCACTGCGTCTCAGCTCTGCCCTCCGCCGGCTAATGCTGGTGCAGGCAGGGCTAGCCTGGTCCTGTGGGGACCAGGAATGTTCCAGAGAGTCCCCCGCCGACCCTCTCCCAGGCAACTCTCCGAGGCTGTGGGTAGCTCTCCCCGGTCCAAGTCCACCCCATGAACAAGGGTCCATGCTTCCCCACACCTGCCCCGCAGCCGCCCCTTCCCTCTGCCACCCCCAGGGACTCACGAGTGGGGGCTGGGGGGCCGGGCAGCCTGCTGCAGTGGACGGCGCCGAGGACCCAGGCGGGGAGCGGCTGGTGTGGGTGGAGGGGGGCGCCGGGCACCCCGAGTGCCAGCTGGCCTGTCCGCCCACAGAGAGTGAGGCCCGGCTGCCGCCCACAGTCTAGCAACCAGGGGTGGGCTGTGCCTGACTGTCCCCACCCACCGCGCCGGGACCCACCCCCTGCCCTGCCGCTGCCATCGCCCAGGGCCTCACCTGTGGGGGCAGCAGGCGCCCCGGGACACCCTCTGCGCTGGGCACCAGGCGAGGGTCCCTGCGAGAGACAGTCTGCAGGCACAGCAGCCAGTGGCTGTAGTCCTCGTGGCTGGCGCACAGCACGCGGATGGTGTTGATGAGGGGCCCTGGCACACAGACGCCGTGGGGGTGAGAGTGCTGCACCCCGCAGAGTCCCCCAGAGCCGGGGCGCCTGCCAGGCTCGCGCCCTCCCTGCCCTCCCAGCAGCCTGGCGGGCCGAGGCCAGGGTCGGGGTCAGGCCGCACCTTCAATCAGGAACGAGTGGGTCTGCTTCTCCTCCTCCTCTGGCTGGATGCCCACGGCGCTGAGCGGGAGCTCGCCCTGTGGGACAGCGAGTGAGGCCCGGCCCCCACCGCGTGGCTACAGCCCCGCCCGGCCTCAGAGCAGGGCCAGAACTGGGCGGCTGACAACAGGCAGACCCACCCGGTGGGGCAGGCCGGCCGGTCGGGCTGCTGTGGGTCAGGGCCATCCGGGGCAGACACCGACGGACGCCGACGGACGCTTGCTGGTCCTGGCGTCACCCACTAAAACGGGGTGGGGTGTCACAGGGACGTCCTGTGCTTCTCTCAGTGACTGAAGTTCACCCTGAGTGCGCACCACCAAAATGCTCTGGCCCCAGAGTATGTGCACCCCCCCACACACACACACGTGAACATGCATGCGCATGCCCTCACAGGGCAAGAGCACACGAGTGACTCCCGCCAGGGCTCCCACTCCTATTCCAGCCACCTTGGCTGGTGGCCAAGGACCCTCGTGGGTGACACGGGGCACCCAGGGTAGGGGCGTCCTTCACATGGGGGCTGAGACCAGACTGACCAGGGCAGCAGGGCAGGTGGGTGGGGCCTTGCACTGCTTCCCGTCCCAGCAGGCCCCGAAATTCAGGTTCGTCCTGAGTCACTGCCCCCACCCTCCCCCACACCGGTGCCTCCCTGGCCCGGGCCACCGGGGAGGGACCCACCTTAAAGCAAAGCCCGTCTGGTTCCTCCGAGAAGATGGCCAGGGAGGCTGGGTACAGGACCAGGAGCCGCTCCCACTGCTCCTGCAGGGATGTCAGGGGGCCAGGGGCTGGTGCCAGGCGCCCAGGACAGGCCCTGCCGCACCCCTGCTTGTCCCCCCGTAGCCCCACGCCCCTCCCACCCACCTGGGAGGGCAGGTGCTGCAGCTTGACCCTGGAGGCACAGACGGCACTGCCCACCAACTCGCGCCCCGAGGCCGTCCGCAGCCGGCTCAGACGGTGCTGCAGCGTCCAGGGGAGCTCGTCCTGGGGGGGCCCCTGGGGAGGAGAAGGTCAGGGCAGGCGGGAGGGTCAGGACGGGGAAGGGCACGGGGTCCCGGGCACTGACCTGCGGGGGAGCTGAGTGGCAGCATCGCAGCCCCCTGACGAGGGCCACCTGCTTCTCCAGGTGGTAGAGCCAGCGGTCCCGCTCCGCCTGGCTGGGGCAGAGCAGCAGGAGGGGTGCGGGCAGCGGGCCTGTGGGCAGAAGGGCAGAGAGGGCTGGGCTGTGCAGAGCCTGGAGCCCCATGGCCCGCAAGGAAGCCCCCCACGCCTGTGTCAGGAGTCACCTTCGGGGGCCGGGGAGGCGTCCCCCACGCACCTGTGATCTGGAAGGCATGCTCTTGGGACCCCTCGGCTGGGCATACGTTCAGATCCGTCAGTGGTAACAGCCCCTGCCAGGGCACAGGGGAGGGGTGCTGCAGGGACTTGTGGAGGGACGGCCAGATGCACCCCTGACCCCACTGCCCACTGCCTCACCTGGAAGGTGAGTCCCTCGGAGCTGTGGGCCTGGAAGTACAGGTGGGAGGGGAACAGCTCCAGGTAGCAGTCACTGACGTCCTGCAGGGAGAGCAAGGCCCCCCCGTCTGAGGGTCTGTGGGGGGAGTCCCAGGCTGGCGGGGAGGCTGTCTCCCTGAGCACGCCCTGCCTGGCCCGCCGGCCCCCACCTGGCTGTGCTGGAACCGCAGCTGGACCTTGGCGTAGTGCACGACCTTGCCCAGGCTCCGCACAGGCACCCTCCGCCGCCCCTTCTTGAACACGCTCAGGAACGGCTGCTCCAGCGGCTCCGGCTGACTGTCCAGGTCCGGGATGTCCTGAGGGGGGGCAGAGGTCAGGGGGGAGGCCTGGCCTGGGCCCCCGGCCCCGGCTAACGTCCACACAGCCACAGACACGCAGGCACGGTCTGCCCACGCACAGCTACACGTGGACCTTCCCACGTATGTGCAGGGTCCTGCACACTCACCGCCCCTACATGCGGAAACATGGCAGTGGCAGAACACACACACACAAACACACACACAGAGGTCCACACTGTGAGGTCTGCAGTCTGCGAATTCAACCCTTATCTTCGCTGCTTCCCAAGCCGGGTGACCTTGTTTTGGTTACTCAACCTCCTGAGACTTGTCAGAGGAGTGTGGGGCACCTGGGTGAGGAAATGCTGATGCTCCGCACACCCTCCCGTCTCCAGCATCAGCTGTGAACCTCCAACACCTGGATCTACGAAAACACACACACAAATAAACAAAGGCCCTGACTTGAACCGTTTACCTGTGTCCTCGTGGAAGTCGCACCCTCCTCCCCACACAGCCCGCCGAGCCACCAGCCCGGTACCAGAGGGGGCGAAGAGACTCGAGAGCCCCACCACAGCACCCCTTGTCTGCCTCCGCCTCCCGCAGACGCCCTGAGGAGGCCTCTGTGACCTGCCCCCCTTCCCTCCCTCTGCCTAACCAGCGCCGTCCTCACTGGGGGGCACGGACCCCGGCCTGACTCGCTGTCTCCCTCCCTGACTTGTCTGGCCCTGTCTCTGCCATGGGAAGGGGCACAGTCTCCGTCTGGCCCCTCACTGCTGACCTGGGCCTAGGGCGGGGCGTGGGGCGGCCACAGCACACTTGGCCAGACCTAAATGGGGGCTTGATCACAGACTAGGGGGCAGAGGGGACGGTGCCAGCCTGGGTCTGGGGGTGTGGGTGTGATTCCGGGCTGGGCTGAGTCAGGGTCACGCTCCCTTCGGAAGCTGGCAAGGGGCCCCGACATGGGCTGTGAGGCCCCAGCCACACCGAGCTGCCCCTTGGGTAAGCCCAGGAATGTGAACAGACAGACGTGAGGCCGTCCTGCCTCTGGGCGGGGCCTCCTGCACCCACACCCGGTGTGGGAGCTGACGCCAGGATGGCACCGTGAGAAATAGGCCACACATCAGGAAGGGCCAAGCAGCTGGTCCTGCGGCCTGGCTCAACCTGGTGGCCCAGGGAGGGCTCGGCTGGAGCTGTGGCAGGGCCAGAGCCCACCTGGAGCCGGCCAGAGCTGAGGCTGGGCCCCAGCCCCTGAGGTTCAGTATGTCCAGGCTGCTCTCCGGCCACTGTGTCCTGGCAGAGGAGGACACTAGGCTACCACGCCCTGTGGGACCCTACCACCCCCCTGGCCCTGGACAGAAGTAGGGACTGAGATGTGGCCACACGAAGGGACCCCACCTGGGCGGGCCAGGCACCTGCCCAGTCCACTGCTCTGAGGCAGCACCTGTGGAGGGGGTGCTGATGGGAGGGGGCGGGTGGGGTCTGGATGCCCTGGCCAGCTGCTGGCTAAGGAGTGCTCAGCATGGAGTCACAACCATCCTGTCCCCTAGATGTACCTGGGCTCCCAGCATAGCAGAGCCACACCCACCCAGGCAGAACGGTTCCCCTGTGGGGGCGCACTGGGGGTTCCTGTCAGCCTTGCAGTGTGGGCTCCACCTCACTCCCCCAACCCAGTCCCCCCCTGCCTTCCGCCCTCAGCAGGGGTTGGAGGGGTTGGACGTGCGTGTCCTTCGGCCGAGGACCGAAGCATGTGCTCGGGAGCCACTTCCTTCCCATGGGGCCTGGGCAGGCGGGCAGGAGAGCCAGCTGGGAACTCCGAGGGTCCCTATGGGCGGCGGTGCCCGTACCCAGGAGCAGCTCCCGCCATGCCCCCCCTGCGGGGAAACCGAGGCCCAGATGTTCCCCTGGAGCCCCTGACTCAAGTGACACCACCCACAGTGGCGCGAGACGCTGGCGCCAGACCCAGCGCACTGGGCCCTGGGGGGCGCAGGGCGGGCTCGGCAGGGAGACCCGGAGGCCCCGCCCCGCCGCCCCGCCCCTGCCGGCGTGGGACTGACTCAGTCCCGGCCCAGTTTCGCTGTCGCGCAGACTTTCGGAAGATGAGCTCCCCAGGGCGCGGCAGCGCCGGTGTCCTCACCTGGGTCTCTGGGTCCCAATCCCCCTGGGCGAAAGCAGACGCCCCCAGCTGTGCCAAGACACGAGCTCTAGGCTGGCGGCACACACGCCAGAGGACACACACGCAGGCACACCCGAGCAGGCGGAACCACACTCGCAGACCAGCCGGGGGCGACACGGGCCGCGCGCAGACGCCGGGGTCGGGCTCCAGGCGGCCCCTCCAGCCGCGCGCGGCGCTCACCGTCCCAGGGATGTAACGGAAGAGCTTGTCGGCGGCGGCGGTGTCCCTGTCGCGAGCGGCCTCGGTGCCGAACAAGCCAGCCAGCTTCCTCGCGCTGTCCTCTCTGGGGACAAGGGAAGGGGACTCACGCCTGGCCCCTGCTGCAGGCGGAGGGGGACCCTGCGCCCCGCAGCCAAGGCCCCGCCCCGCCCTCACCTGTTCCCCTTCAGTGAGGGCTTTCTGGAGAAGGAGGCCCGGAGCCTCCGGGGGGCCTGCGGGACGCACTGGCTGTTCCCCATGGGTGGCAGCCGCCTGAGCCAAGCCGGCCAGCGGGTCTGTCCCTCCGAGCCTCCTGTCCCCGCCTCCCACTGGCGGGCAGGGCTGGGGATGTCCTGCCCCCTACCGAGGGCAGGCGAGGGTGGAGCTTTCTTGGGAAGGGTTTGGCGCCTACCTGAGCTTCCAGCTCGCGCCCTGGGGCCTCCCCACCTGCAGGGAGCCTGGGGCAGGGGGCGTCTGTGCGGTGGTCTGCCACCATCCACCTGCTTGTGGTCAGGATGGGTGTCCCTGGATCATGCAGCTGGGGGAACCCAGGGACCCCCTTCCAGCTGCACCTCCTCTCAGCATGAGCACACATCCTGTTTCCACCTGGGCCCGTCTGAGTCAGCAGTGACTAGGAGTGCTATCACTCCCTCCGGCCGCCCGGGAAGAGGAAGCCTCCTCTCCTGCCCCGGTGACCCTCACCCCAGGCCCAAGTCAGCAGCCCCGAGGTTTAAGGTGAGTCAGGAAGGAGGCAACGTGCCCTCCAGCTGCTCAGGCCAGTAGTGAGGAGGGGGCCACGCTGTTCCCACCCCCAGAGTCGGGGTGTGGCAAGCGCTCGAGGCCTCAGGACCAGGCTGGCAGCAAAGTGGTCCGCAGGACAGCACAGTCCCCACTCCGCCTAGGTGCAGAGGTGCTGCCCTGCAGCCCCCAGACACACACACACCACCACAGCCGCTGCACACCGGCCCTCAGACCCTCCGCCCTCAGCCAGCACCGGGCCCAGGGCGGTGCTGCAGCCCCATGGGGCAGAGGGAACACCAGAGACGGACGCTCAGCCTCAGGCCCCTGGAGCCCAGGACACACGTTTATTGTTCAAGTCGGCTCATATTGCTGTGTATGGTCTGTGTGCACACGCGTGTGCCTAGTACAAGGTCCACAAAAGACAGGGACACAGGAAAGAAGCCTGCTCTGCGCCCTTCCCGAGCCGTGTGCTGAGTGGGGAGACTGGGGTCTGCACCTGCTGGGAAAGCCCCTGCCCCTCCTGCTCCACCAACATAGGGGGGCACTGGGTCCCCCGAGAAGCGTGAGCCCATAAGGGCTTCACTGCGGGTACCCCCGAAGCACAGAGCAGGGGTGACGCACAGGAGGGCCGTACAGAGTAAATGCGTGGACAGCGGGCGGCTGCAGTGCTGTCCGCCCATCAATAAATAACGAATAAATAATCGGACACAAGAACGAACACAGAGACGCGGACACGCGGCGCGGGGTGTCCCTGGTGGGGCCGTGCACCCCCTTAAGGCATGTGGAAGGCCGAGGGCCTCTGCGGCCGGCCGGTGGGTCAGAGGCTGGTGGAGGACACGGACAGCGTGGGCGAGGACGGCGGTGGGAAGTTGAGCAGCTCCAGCACGGCGGCGCCCACGCTGCTGCGCCGAGTGAACATGCAGGACGCGGCCACCCACTTGTTGGTCCTGGGGTTGTACTTCTCGATGGAGTTGAGGCTGGAGCTGCCGTCGTTGCCCCCCACGGCGTACAGCCAGCCGTCCATGGCCACCAGGTCGTGCGTACTCCTGGGGGTGGGCGGGGGGCTCAGCGACGGGGCCAGGAAGGGCGGGGCGGGGGGCACCCATCTCTCGCTGGTGGAGAGGGGCCCCGAGAACCAACCCCTCCCTGGAGGCCCCCTCCCCGGGCGCAGACCTGCGGATGTTCATGGGTGCCACGCTCTCCCAGGCGCCAGCCTTAGGGCTGTATCTCTCCACCGAGTTGAGGCAGCTGGTGCCGTCGTTGCCCCCGGCCACGTACAGGGCGCCCTCCAGCACCGCCACACCTGCCGAGCTGCGCCGGCTCAGCATGGAGGCCACAGGAGTCCACGTATTCACCTGCGGGGCAAGGGGCCGTGCTGGATGCAGCCCCGCCTCGGGCACCCTTCCCCCCACAGCCCCTCTCCAGGGCGGGCCGGGACGGGGAGGGCTGGGCGTCTCGGACACGCGTGGGAGCCCGGGCAGCACGGGGGGAGGTGACCGTGAGGGGTGCCTTATGCACCTGGGGTTCATACTTCTCCACGGTGGCCAGGTGCGAGGAGCTGTCGTAGCCGCCCACGGCGTACAGGTTCCCATCTGCAGGAAGCCAACATACCCGTGGTGCTCCTGCTGGGTGTGGGGTCTGGGGGGCAGACACCCCACGGCACAGGCCCAACACCCACCGAGCGTGGCCACACGCACGTATCGCCTCCGGGTGCTCATGGCAGCGACAGACGTCCACGTTCCCGTCAGCGGGTCGTAGCGCTCAGCACTGTGGGCACCAGGGCTGCCGCTGACCCTCAGCAGAGGCCCCAGGACCTGCCCTCCCCACGGGAGGGCTGAAATCTCAGGCTAGGGAGCCATGGACACTTGGACCCCGAAGTCCCACTGGAGCAGACGGGGGGGGGCCTGCTGGTGGGCACAGGCCGGGGGCTGCCTGGTGGTCCGGGCCAGTGCCCATGGGTGCAGCCCCTGCGCTGTGGGCAGGACCCCAGACAAGAAAAGGGCCTGGTGCTGCCGAGGCCTGGGGTACGGGGGACACAGGGGCCCTGCTCATCCTCAGGCAGACCACGGGGCCTCACCTTTGGCTTCGGGGCACTGCAAGGCCGCAGGGCCCCATCCCGACTGTACCTGTTCAGGCAGGAGGCCCCATCGTAGCCGCCGGCTGCGTACAGAAGCCCATGGAGGGCAGCCACACCCAGGCAGCTTCGTCTCGTGCCCATAGACACCTCGGGCTGCCACGTGTTGGTCACGGGATCATACGACTCCACGGTAGCCAGGTCTGAGGTCCCGTCGTAGCTAAAGGAGCCCCCTCTTGGTCAAGGTGGGTCTACTGGGCGCACACCAGACCCCGACCTGACGCCGGCCTCCATGCTTACCCGCCCACCGCATACAGCCGGTTCCCGACAGCCGCCACCCCCACCCGGGCTCGGCGTGTGGACATGGAGGCCACCACGTGCCAGCGGTCGGTGCGCGTGTCATAGGCTTCACAGTCCCCATGGATGGCGAACAGGCTCCCGCCGCCTGCGGGAGGGGAGGGAGGGAAGGTCAGGACCGGACCGGGGTGGGGTGGGCTTGTGCTGGGCGTGGGGTGGAAGGCACAGGGCAGGGACGTGAGCAGGACGGAAGGAGGTGGCCATACCCACGGCAAAGAGCACGGGGCCGGCCCCCTCGCAGCGCCGGGGCCGCGTGCGGCTGGTGCCCAGGACGCCCCTCTGTTCGGGCAGCAGGTGGAACTTGAGGGCCTCGATGAGCAGATCCTTGCAGTCGGGGTGGTGCCTCACCAGGCTCTCGGCGTCCACATGACCCAGCAGGAAGTCTCGGCTCAGCAGGGGCAGCCGCACACACTTCATCAGCTGCGCACGGAGGTGCCGAGGTCAGGCAGGGCCCTCAGACACACTCGTCCCAGGGCTGAGGCTACCCCCTGCCACCAGGTGCCTGGACCGCCTGTGTGACGGATTCTTCCTGTGATAGGAACCCGCACCACCCCCACGGAGCCCTGGGCACGGGGAGGCCCTGAGCCATCTGCCGCCCCCCAACGCCACGGGAGCCCCCAGGGCCCGACCTCACCCTCGGGACGTGCTGCCTGCGTGCGTCCACGTCGTGCTTGACCCAACTGAGGACCGCGCGGTAGACGTCTTCCTCGGAAGGGACGTTCAGGCTGTCACTAGAGACCAGTTCCAGCACCTGGGGGTGGGTCCTCAGACCTGAGACCTGGGGAGGGTCCTGTGGGCCCAGAGAACCCCGAAGGTGCCTAGGATGGGGGAGTCCAGCTGGAGGCTTAATGTTCACACAGGAAAGAGCCAAGCAGGCTCAGGAACCACGGCCTAGACTCCTGGGTCCAGGACGGTCTTAGGGACGTGACCAGGAGCTCAGTGGGGACAGGATGGGCCGGCGTTCAAAGGCGATGGCTTGCATGGGGTCAGAAGATGGGGATGGCGTCAGGGAGCCAGGGGATGGGTGGCGGGGCTGAAGGGTGGGTCAGAGCCTGGGAAGGAGGGCAGGGGCCCCGGGGGAGGGCCGTGGCCTGGCTTGGGCCCCAGCTGGTGTGTTACCTGCTTCAGCGGCAGCAGCATGAACTCCTCGGTCTTGGCCACGTCCACGAAGTGCTGCAGCACGTACCTGTGGGCAGCCTTGAGCAGGTCACTGCAGGAGTGCGTGTCGGCAAAGCCCCGGATGCCCAGGCAGTTGGAAGGGTCCAGCTGGCTCAGTAGGAACTTGCAGCAGGCGTCCCGGACACCGTTCAGCTGCAGGAGGCTGGCAGCAGGGAGCAGAGTCTGCGGGCACGGAGACGAGGGTGGGGCAGGAGAAGGGGCCTAGGGGTGGTGAGACCCCGGGGGTGCGGGGGGCTGGCCATGGGGACGGGGCAGCCTCACCTGCACGTTGCCCTCGCCCACCACGATCTCAGCCGTGTAGGCAAACTGCACCAGCTGGTCCAGCGCCTGAGGGTCGATGTCGTGCAGCGTCACGTGGGTCTGGCGGCTCTCGCTCATCTCATCTGTGGGGACAGTGGGTCAGGCGGTGCCAGCCCCGGGAGATCCGCAGAGAGCCCTCCCGGTGCCACCGCGCTGCACAGACACGGTACTTGCTTGTGAACATGGCGTGGAAGTAGGGGCTGCAAGAGGCCAGCACCACCTTGTGCGCGCGGATCTCCTTGGCAGCCACGTGCAGCACGATATCGCACAGGAGGCCCCGCTGCCTCATGCGGCTCATGGCCACGAAGGCGTCGTGGTAGTGCCGCTTGGAGTTGTGGGCCACGCTGTGACCCTCCCGGCTCAGCAGCTGCACGGTGCCCTCCATGGGGGCCGCGGGCCGGGCCTGCCGGGGGCGCGCACGCTCCGCCTCGGGGCTGCGGGCAGCAGCGCCGTCAGGGTCCGCCCGCGGGGAGCTGCCCCCACCCTGCCGGCAGGGACCCCGCTCAGCGCTGTCGGGGACCCCGCTCCACCCCGGCCGCCAGCGGCCCGGCCCTCAGGGCCCTGGTGCAGCCTCGGACGCCCACCGCCCTCTCGGGCACCGCGCACCGGCCCAGGGCCCGCACTGCCGGCCTGACCTCCCGTGACCCCGCTCCTGCCGGCGGACTCAAGGGCGGGGAAGCGGCTGGAGCAGCACCCCGCCCCCCGGCGCCCCCTCCCTCCCCGGCCCCCTCCCCCCAGCCTCCCCGGCCCCCCAGCCTCCCCGCTCCCAGCATCCCAGCCTCCGACCCCCGCGGGCCGCCCGTCTCGCGCCGCCCTCCCGGCGGTCTCCCCGGCCCCCGCCCACTCACGCAGGCGCTGCGGCGCGGCCGGCGCGGCGCCTCGGGCCCGGGCCCCGGGCTGCCGTGCTCCGGGCTCTGCGTCCTGCCGGCCGGGCGCTCGCTGCGCGGCTGCATGGGCTCGGCCGCCGGACCCGCCGCCGATGCGCGGAGGACGCGCGGGCGAGCGGACGCGGGGACGGCTGGAGGGCTGCTCGGCGGTGGCGGCCCCTTCGCGTCGCGCTCTCCCGCCGCCCGGACGCAGCAGCCCGCGCCCGTTGTTTCTCGGCGCCGCCCGCCCCGCTTCAGCGAGGCTTCTGGACCCGGCGCTAGACGCGGATCCTTCCCGCGCCCGGGCCACCGCCTCCTCCAGGAAGCCCCCAGGCCCCCGCCCGCGGCCAGTCGGGCCCCGCGTGCGGCGCTGGGGCCGGGGCTCGAGCTCTGGGGCCCCGGCAGACCCCTTCCCCGTCCTTGCGGCGGCGCGCTCGCCCCACGCGCCTCGTGGGCACCGGCGGTGCGGGGCGCGGGCTGCCTGGGCCGCGAGGGCGCTGCAACTAGCCGCGCGTGCGCCAGGGCCGCCTCCGCGGCGGGTCTGGCCCGTCGCAGCCGGCGGCACGACCTGGTCCCAGGCCGGTCGGCAGCGCCGGCGCCGGGGCTCCTGGCCCCATGCGGCCCCGCCGACGCTTCGTGCGGACGCGGAGCACTCCGCCGCCACACGCCGCCCCGCGCCCGCCAGCCGGCGGCAGCGAGCAGGGGCAGCGAGCGGGCGCGCTCCTCCCGACTGGACCCCGGCACGGCCGACCCGGCCGTCGGTTTTCCCGCCAGGGCCTGTCTAGGCCATCGCCGCCGCCTCCTTTCCTTTCGGGGACAGGGTCGT